GACTCCAAATGGTGACCAAAGGAATGAATGAAAATAGTCAGTTCCTTACTATTCCTTACTATTCCTTACAATTTACACCATTTACAAGGAATATTTGTTACCTATGATTCCTTAACATTCCTTAAGATTTAAGGAATAAAAGACTACAATTATTCCTTGTCAAATTAGAAAGGAAATAGATTTTCCTTTTTATTTTTTTCTTTTCATTCCTTTCTTTCTTATTCCTCATATTACTTTGATGGTTACCCGTTAAAGCCATCTATTTTATGTTATAGGTACATGTCACTCCTATTATTTATTCAGACATAGACTTTGATGAACTATGTGATTCATTCAGTCAGATACAAGATGTCATGAAGAAGCACATTTCAGATAATTTGTCTCTGTTCCTCGTCTTCCAGCTCATTTACAAGAAAATTCTCAATTCAGTTGATGTATCATTATAACGAGATAATTATATAAAACTACATATCTGGCCGGATAACAATAATCGAGAAACCATATGTATCCGAATAACTATAATAGAAAAAGTAAATAATTTCTGTTTGACATATGATTATAGCCAGATAACTATATTGCACTAAATGTATATATTCTTTGAGTGAAGCAACAAACACTACATTAATTACTCAAAAACTATTTTCTTAAAATTTTATAGTGTTAACCGGCCATTGATTAAAAACACTAAGAGTAATGATATCCAGATAGTTAGTATGTACTACCTAATTTATTGCATATGAATAACATGACTTTGTGAAACATACAAGTTATATCATTAATTTAAGTATAACGTATTTTAACTAAGATAACCGGATAGAAAACTACAACCATTATAGACACACATGTGTTATATCAATATAGACACATACATGTTATATTATTAAGGTAAGAATGAGCTGTCAGGGTATTGTCTGCCTTCTTTCTTCTCTTTATGATAGGTGACAGGTTATTTCCTTAAAGTCACCTATCATAAATCAGGATCCATTGCATTATTAGTTTTGAAGGGTGCTTCCTAGATTTGTATGTATTAGTTTCTTTTTTTTTTTATATATATATAACTCGTCTGTCAGTATAATTGTCTAGGGACTCGGGAGACAGTCGATACTTGAGTGTATTATCGCCTTTATTTCGTATGAGAAAGTCACTGAATGCATGAAAATACATTTATATCTCAACTATATGATTCAGGAGAGCACCATAAAATCATGTAGCTTCGGAATCTTACATGCATCATCCGATGTAACTTCACTTTCCTACTCGCAAATTTGTTTTTGAGTATGAAATTAAACTGATATGTCTAATCTGTATTCTGTTATGTCAGTTATTCATTTTTGGACTGATGTATATAAAACCCATTCAAAAAAATAATTTTGGCAAAACGTTTCTAGATTTGAGATATACCACACTTCGAACTGAATTAGAGTTTTCTTTTTCAATTTGTTTAACAAATTGAATTGTAACTAATTTTTCTTTTAACAAAATTGATATTTGTTTTTCATAATTAGTATCATATATTTTAAATGTATCACTATATAATTAAATGTATATTGGTTATTTGAATATTTTAGGTTTCTATACAACATAACCGAAACCGAACCAGTGCGGACAATATGATTACTTTTAGTTATTTGATTATGTGTAAGTTATTTTTAGTTTAGATAGAAAATATCTGAACCAAATCGGATAATATGATTATTTTTGGTTATTTAATTATGTATAGGTTATTTTTAGTTTAGATAGAAAATATCTGAACCGAATCGGATAATATAATTATTTTTGGTACAAATATTTGAAATTTTAGATACATTAGTAATTTAGATATTTTCAAATTCTAATTCATTAGAATCGAACCCAAGTGGACCCAAAAAAAATTGAGACGTTCTAATTTAAACGTCATGTGTATTTATTTTTACATGTTTATAAATAAATACTGATTTTACATAAATGGTAATATGTATTTTTAATTTTAATTTGTTAAATATTTATTTATTATGAAATTTTTAAACAAAATAATTTTATAACTTGCATTGAGTAACTTTATTTTAGTTTTGAATCGTCAACCATTTCATTCGGATTTTTAAAATATGACACGTTCGTCCACACAAATATCTATTTTTATTTTTCATGGACCAAATTTTTTAATGTATGATAACATTGCTATGTATACTATTTAACATTTGGTGCTCTATATTTTATATTCTTCAAAATTTATCATATTCGATATACATAAGAAGGGTTTGAAAATTTCATGGATGAATAGTAATGACAAAAAAAAGTTGATTTTGCAATTGACTTCAATTTGTAGGTTGGTTTTGCTAAACACTCAACATTTTAACCTAAATATATTTATATTTGTAATATTTTATACAAAATACTATAAATATATACGTGTCCTACACTACAAGGACACCATACCAAAATGCATTTAGCCGCAAAGGCACAATACACTTGGTTTCTTTGTAGTGTCGTGCCTTGATCCAGAAAAATTAAAATTAATTGTACATAATTAATTTTAGTCAATTAACTTTCACAAGCGTTCACATTAATAGACTTACTTTCAATAAAACCCATTCATGTTTGCAAATCTACTCACACTTGTGCATATTTATTAATATTGTCATGCCAATGAGAAATTCTTTTCATCAAAAATTGCATGCACATGTTAGTTCCAAGACACGACCCGTTTAATTAATTTAGCATTAATCTACGTAAAAGTACATGCATGAACCGTTGTGATTTTTCATCACACAATCGGTTATTTCTTATCCTTCCTTGCGAAAAGAAATAACAACAACAGGACAAACATAATCCAAAATTGTTTGACCATTTCATGCAAATATATTACATAACCTTAATAGAAAATCAAACCGCATGCATGGAACCTGTAACCATTCACTAAAACCATTCCAGAATTTAGCATGCAAATTTCATGCTCACGATCACTAGTACGCATCCTTTTAAATTAGTGGCCGACACATAAAACCTTTATGGCATCGTAAACCCGTAATTAAAGAACTAAAACTCGTTCATAAATTGATTGAGTTATTCGTACATGCCATACATTTCCGAGTACGTTTAATTACGGTGGATTAAACAAATCTCATAACACTCTTTAAAACGGTGTCATCCGTATATGTTCATGAACTTGAAAAAACTAACTACAGTGAATTAATTAAATCTAAAATGGCTCTGATACCAAATGTAAGCTTAACCTTTATGATTTCTATAATGAAATCTACCCAAAACCAAATCTAGATTTATCTTAATTCAACTCTAATAATTTTCCTAAGAAAAGAAGAAACACTAACCTTGATATCCTTGTTTGGTTAGGCTTAGTATGGATGCAATTCCACCTTTGATTTTCTCCTCCCTTTGACTTTCAAATCCTTTATGATTCTCTTTGAAGGATAAAGGAATCCAAATTATTCTCTACACGTTTCTTTTCTTATGTAATGGCTTTATCATTAACAACACTAATGTGACTCTTCTTAGATACAAGAAAAGTGACTTATTATCCTTTGGTAACCATCACACGTGACTATATATATGTGTGTGTCTTCTTGTGCCTCTTCACTTATCACATTTTTTCATATGTATTCGTTAAAGTACAAACCATAGTTTTATATGTGATTAACATATACATGCACAACTATAACACATATAGAACAATTCATTTATAAATAAACAAGGCATGGAAGGAGGGTTATCAATACATCCATATTCTAATTCTTTTATCGAAACCGATCCATCACTGTATGTCTTTTATATTAGAATCTAAAATATTAATATGAACTTGAACTTTATATTAAACCAATAGACACATAGGTCATACAAAATATAAAATATTCTTACACTTTCAACACACAACCAATATTTAACCTTTCTAAACTTTTCTTTTCTTCTTCTTTTTCTCGCGTACGATTATACTTATATACATGTATTGTCAACACTAAATTTACATTTTTAAAAAAATACATTAGCAAAATTAGTAAGTTTACATTTTAATTAAAAGAAAAATAACTAGCAAAAACTGAAAATTTTACATTTTCTTATAAGTGAACATTAAAATGTTTACATTTACGGTTCTTTTTATTATTATTTGTCACACAGAATTATAATGTTCTTTCTAAAACATTCCAAAAAGCTGTAGTTGTCATATTCAGTACTAGTAAAACTATCTTTCATATATATGTATGTCACTACTGCTAAGGTAGATGGTGATAACTGGATTGACCCATCTATCTTATATACTAGTTAATATTCTCTCCAACTTCCGATGTGAGACATTTTGTGTCTAATAGGCCCCCTCAAGATGATAGCTGTTTGGAAATAAGCCATTAGTTTTCTAGCTTAAATACGTGTTACCACCATAAGCACCCAAGTTTGTCTACATTGCATGAGTGAATACTGGCTTAACAAATTACACAAGGCAATAAGCCAACAAGACCAACCACACAATCAAGACCCGGTTAAACTAAACCAGAGACCTGCCTCCTCGTCAAATCAATTATCATTACTTATTAGCATCATCAGCAGCAACGTTAATCAGGTTGTAATTTGCAACTGAAGTAAAACAAAATGTTGCAGAGCTTCAACCGCCACTGCTACTATCCAAGAGATCTACAAGAGTAATCTTTCCGTTGCTGCACCAGTCGAGTTTGTCAAACTGTTGTGAGATTGGTTTTATTGTCTTTATCTGTTATTTTCTCCATCTCCTTCAGTTTATAAACAACATACTCTGCTACTGCAAAGACAAAACCAAAAGATATCTTAGGTTAGAGCTACTAAGCAAAGCATTTTCCATGTCTTCAATACAAAAATGTGATTAAACCTCCCTTTTTTAGAGTCATTCAAACTTAACTTAAAGCCGAAACCATCATAATATAGTTAGAAGACCACAATGACGGAAACAAACATGCTATGGCACATTGACAAATCTTTAATGAAGCATAAGAACATAGTTTAGATTCAAAGAAAAGGAGGGCAGAAGAAGCAATAACTCAGGAACCTAACATAAACCTCAAGGAGTGTGTCAAATACCTGACACAACCATTATCAATATAATCATAAAAGAACTGAGAGACAGACATTGTCTCACACAACACTTTCTTCGCTCTTTCTCTATTCCTCTTATCATCTCTCGCATCAGCCACGTACAAAAACGCTCGAGCCACGGCTAATGTAGACACAAGCAGCCATACCGCAGTAAAAATCCAACCAGGCAACGTCTTAAAAGCCGTATCTCTATACCCAGCAGTATTAACCGACATAACCGAGAGATAAAACGAATCCAACCACTCAATTTCTTCAATAAAATGCATTATACCAACACCAAGAGCAATCCATAAAACCACAACAACTAATGTCAATGCCACTCTCAACCTTTGACCAGTCTCGTCTCTACGCTTAGAAGACTCTAGCATATAGCTTTCTTGAAGGTCAAGAACGTAAGAGACCATTCCACTAAGAAAAATATCATTAAAACCAAACCCAACAAGAACAAACAAGATCGAGAACAGCTTAGTTAGAACACTGTTTGGTGTAATGTCTCCGTCACCGATCGTGCACATTGTAAAGATGCAAAAGTACAATGCATCAACGACGAGATGGGTTTGATTCACTATGAAATGGTCACGGTTCAGCCACTAGATAAGCACACCTAAAGGAGAGCTAGACAACTCGTAGAGAAAAAGCTTGTCATAATACAAAACGTGATGATGAATCGAGATTGGTTTCCTGACGTATTGTGTAGTGCCCCGGCGTCCAACCAGGGTTAGCGAAAGGGAGTTATGGATGAGTGTCTACTCACTTAGACAACCCTACGTGTTCCGTTAGTTGTCCCAAGAGTCGACAGACGCACTTCTTCAATAAAATACCAGCCCACTCATACCCACATGCTTCTACTTACAATCTTACGCATATGAGAAAATAGAGAGGGAGTGAATGAGAAATTGGGATTACTCAGTGAAGTGGTGACTCTAGCTCAGCCTGCCCTCACAACACCCTACACCACCTTATGCGGGATCCAGGACTGGCTAGCCACTACAATAAATATGCAACATTCATTTCATAACATCGTCATTTCCATAAAGTATTCTTAATAGTCTAGTGATCATACACTATTGCTACACGTAGACTCGATCACTCATTAACCCTATTGACTAGACTCACCAATCAACCAAAACCTCTAGGACCTATGGCTCGTCTTACAGACATCCCACCTCGCATATCAGCTTGTTCTGAGAGATCTTATGCATATCTCTGTCCCCCAGCCCCTAGATAACCACCCGGGAGTAGCTCGTTGGCCCACATGCGACCAATCTCAGCCCACACGTGACACTGTCCACAAGTGGCTCCCGCCACGTACATGGTCTAATGGTCACATTTTTGCCACGGCTCGGCATGACTCGATCCTAAGGCGCCTTGCACATTTTCTATCCCACATCTCGCGGTAGGCTCATTTCATCACTACCCGTGGGTACCTCTTGTTAGGCTACAAAACCACGGCCACATCACCTTCTAGACTCTAGACGCGCACCCGTTCTTTGTGGTCCAAACAAGACATCAAACAACTTCATTGACACGTTCACACTCTCATGCTTGTTCTCATTCACTTTCTCATTCTCGTTCTCGTTCTCATTCTCATTCATTTTCACTTAGACTCATACCCATTCACTAGATGCCACCCGTGAACGGTGTCTCAAACAATACGTTTCACATTCTCAATCATAACAACATATATCAATTCTACCTATCTACACATTAAGTAATCACTTCTTTCTAGCAACCTAGTTTTCATTTGCAATCACATGGGACTACACAAACCATTCACACAATCATCAGTCATTGGTTATTCATCACATTAACAAAAGGTAGTTCATTAAATCCCATTTAACAATATGAAGGTTCTCATGCATCATGATCCATTCATCTATCACCCTAGCATCCATTATGGTCTATCAACATAACTCTCAAACAAGATCTAACCAAACCCTAATTCCAGCATACGGGAGTATATAGTACATGAGAGCAAGATGGGTTCAAATCACCTCACCTTAGCCTAGATCTGGATCTGAGAACAAGAGAGAAGAGGGAAACGGGATCTGTTCAACACCACACCACACGGCTTACCCACCACCACTCCAGTTGCTCACGGAGAGGAGAGAAGAAGAGAGACGACATGGAGAGAGAGGAAGACGTGCACGAGGAGAGAGAGAAGAAGATAAGAAACTAAAGAAAACCTATAGATTTTTGGACAAGTGGGCCGTAGAGAAGCCCATTAGTCTTTCCAATATTTTTGGGTCTGGTATCGGGATGTTACGATTCTCCCTCACTTAATGGAATTCGTCCCTGGATTCCGCGTGTTAAACTCCCAAAACTAACATCCCGGTCTGAAATGGCAACAACTCATCGTCTGTGCGATATGGCCCTTGCAACACCGCAGGTCGCCAATCCTCACACAGCTTCTATGCCTCTTCATACCTCATTCCCAGCTACACTGCATCCTCTTCTTAAGCCTCTTTTTGGGCACAACACTAAGGAGACTTTCTGCTCTCCTCAGCCAAACTCAAGCCGTTCTGTTTGCCCTGTAATCCACTGATCCTTCTCAGCTCGAATTCCCGATCTCCCCCTCTTTTGATCAAGCATATGGGGGTTCCACATGATCTCACCATCCAGCCTTGTACCATCACATCCATATGCCCTACTTCCATTGTGGAACCTGTAATTTTTGTAGTCACACCCCATGGGTTTGCTAAGGAGAGTTATAGACATTGGTCCAAGAAAGCCCTCCCATTTCTTATTAACATCAGCCTCTTTGCCCCAAGAAGATTCTCCATCATCCTTAGTAGCATCATCCTTTTACCCCAAGAAGATCCTCCATCATCCTTATTAGCATCACCTTTTTTGCCTCAAGATGATCTTCCGTCATCCTTATTAGCATCATCTTTTTTTTCCTCAAGAAGATCCTCCATCATCCTTATATAACTACTACACCCGGAATTGGCTCCCTACTCCGGAGTGGTAACTTTGGAAAGCTCCCTTCAACATTTACCCCATTCAAATCATCATATGGTTGATCCCCTAACCCCAAGCAGCTTGGACCCTTGACCACGGAATATAGACCCCTTGTTCTCGCTTAATTTTCCGTCTGCTGGTCGTCCATTCACATGGTCATTTTCTCGGGTCGGTGCGCTACTTCCCCCACGTGCCTACCCCCTTTGCCCAAGGCCCACGATTGTCCTTAGTTCTGTCTTGCCAATGCGAGAGTGGCTCACGCTATTGTTGGATTTTCAGAGCTCATGCTGTGGTGGTGAAGAACAAGCCCTTTAGGGCAAGATGGATCTTAAACTGATGAGAGAAATGGTCTGATGTGATTAGTGTGAATCAAGACAAGAAACACGAGATTGAGAGAGATTAATAGATTAATGTATAAGAAAGGGAAATTATAAGGGATTCTGATCAAGAACACACTTATTATTATGAAGGAGTGATGAAAACCCCTTTAACTCACTTAATTTCAAAATTACACTCTCTCAGCCTTATATTGGCTTTACAAAGACATAAATCTGAAACCTATATCTAATGATTGATAATGCTTGAAGAGATGGATGGCCAGAATGGAGCTGAGTTGAATCTGAGTGATATGAGATGATTGGTTGATTCAAACTAGTCAAGGCAAAGGCTGGCTTCTGATTGGCTTCTCAAAGGCTCCCATGAATCTGCCCATGTATCAGACCAGATACATGGTCAATGCTACTTCTTCTTTCCAGCCACAGCCAGCCTGTCTTGGACAACACAAAGATGCCAACACTCTCTTGTCTTCTTCTCTTAAATGTTTGACTTCTTCTCTTAAAGAGCATTGTTCGGGTCAAAATCGGTCACAACGGAATCAATGGCTAAAAGTCCTTAAAAATGAATAAGAACATTTCTCGGAAAAGTAACTTTCCGGAAAGAAAATTTTGCGGAAACATTCTTCGATAGAATTCGCAAAAGCCTCAATCGAGCCGCGAAAACTAAACACGATCGTCCGAGAGCAACATGCAAATATTCAAACCAGCCATGGACCAGATCAAGCATGGAAATAGGACCACGCACGAGCCAAGCTCGGTCGCTGCATAGCGACCAAGTCCGAGCCAAGCTCGTTCACTACATAGCGACCGACTCATGCACGGTCCGGGTTGCTACATAGCAACCAAATTCTCCCGAACATCAATACAACACAAATCCATGCATTCTCGTCTACTCTTAAATGCTATCTCCCGTAGGACACGGCTTAACCACTCATTGTTCATTATTGATCGGAGTCATCATTCAAACTTTACGATAAAAACCGCGGAAAGTTTGTTCTTATCAAAGAAACCGTAATAAGCGTTTCAAGTCAAAAGACGGTCCAAAGAGGCCAAAAACACGACTAGAAGCCCACTTACGATTTCTTAACCAAAATCCCATAAACACTATGATGGTTTGGACTTGGTTGGCAAGAAAAGATAAATGTCAACTTTCCGCGGATAAATGTCAAGTTTCTGAAGATAATTATGAAGATCGTGAAAATGGAATATCTCCAGTTTTGAGCTATGAAGGTTTAAGGACAGAAGAGGAAAATCATAAACCGACAAAAGAGGGAGTATATAAGGAGTCCTAGGCAAGAGGCAAAGAAGAACTTTGAGATTCAAAACTCTCTGCACTTAGAAACCCTAGGCTTTATTCTCGACAAGCTTGGTTTCTATGACTTTCACTCATACTAGACGAACTCGCCCAGACAGTTTGATCTCTTGTTCAAATCCTTCTAATTGAACTACGTTCGACTTGATCCTCAAAAGGGGTACGTAGGCAGCCTTTCATAAGGTCCAGTCCCAAATCCTTTAAACCTTTTCCGTCTTTTTCGTGTATTGATAAGCGAGCTGCGCCTCACATAGGTTTCTTTCGACACAGATGGTTATGCTCGCGAACCTAGTTCGGATTTACTGTCTGTGCCATATGATTTCCTTTTTAATACCGCTTCCGTACAAGCTTCAGGTATGCTTTTGTCCCTGGAACGCTCATACGCAAATTCAAAATAACGATCAACTGTTTTCAAATAAACTCATTTTATTATCCTTTCATATTTTCCGCACATATTCGGTTACTTGTCGTCAGTTCTCGCAGAGATCCGGGACCTCTGGAAATTAGGGTTTTTCTAACTTTCCTATTTTAAACGGAAATTGACAGTGTGAATTTCGGTTCCCACAAGCATCTTCTTGATGTCTCTTGATTCCACATGATCAGAACATTTTGGGTAAGTTCCTAACTTTGTACAGACCACTAGGGAATGAACGGACAGGTTATGGTTCATACATTTTCACCCTATTTTCGCACAAAGCTCATAAACACCCACTACAAGAAATATGAATATTAATAGCAACAGATTATAGCGTTTATTATAATTCTGCTATTGTATATTGACAGCGGTTTTTTTAATAGCGTTTGTAAATTTTAAAACGCTATGTATGATATCGCGGGAAAATATTTTTTTAGCCGCGTTAATTTACTACGGGTAGGCGCCTTACTATTTCAGATCCAAAATTAAACG